GGCGGGGGCAGCGCGAGCGCCGAGGACGGCGCCTGCGCGGTGGGCGTGATCCGGGCACTTAGGGCAGGATGAACGCTGCTTTCCAAGATGGCGACGGAGGGAGGAGGGAAGGAGATGAACGAGATTAAGACCCAATTCACCACCCGGGAAGGTCTGTACAAGCTGCTGCCGCATTCGGAGTACAGCCGGCCCAACCGGGTGCCCTTCAACTCGCAGGGATCCAACCCTGTCCGCGTCTCCTTCGTAAACCTCAACGACCAGTCTGGCAACGGCGACCGCCTGTGCTTCAATGTGGGCCGGGAGCTCTACTTCTATATCTACAAGGGGGTCCGCAAGGTACCGACCCGGGCGTCACCGGGGCCCGCCAGCGGCGTGGGCAGAGGCCGGGAGCAGGGCGGTGACAGCGGGAGCCGGGGTGGCCGAGAGGGGTGGCCGTCGCGCTTACTTCTGAGTGGGCCGGCAACTCCACTGGGCTGTTCCGGAGGAAAGGGGCTTCGGGAGTGAGGAGGGCGGTGGCGCCCCGGAGGGCCCGCGGGCTGCGGGCTCCGGCTGGGAGGCTCCAGAAGGAGCGGGCTGCCACCCCTCCGGCACAGTCCGCTGGACTGACATGTCCGGGGAACGGGCCTGCCAGTCCCCGGAAGAGGTGGGGTGGCCGTCTCGTCTGTCCTGGGAGTCGCCCTGGGATTAGGAGCAGGGGAGCAGGGCGGCCTGGGAAAACCTGTAAGGCGGAAGCGGAGGACCGAGACTAGGTCAGAAGGGACCAGCTGGGCACCAAGGGCTACTCCACCTGCTGCCCTACTGACACTTCCCGAGAGTCCCCCCTTCCGGTCCCAACCCCCTGGGGGAGGAAGCCTGTCACGGTCTCCGCCGCCGAGGGACGCTGCTCCCGAGGACCATCTTGCCCCTTACAGTATGCGAAGGGACGCAACCTGCACTTGGGAGGTCGAAACGCTGTTGTGGACGAGCTCGGCTGGCCCACGGGGGCCGAGTGTGAGCGTGCTCAGGTTCATCCACTCCAACAAGTCAGATTCTACCCCAAACAGGGAGGGCTGCGCCTTAAACGCTACTTCACAGGAACTATCCTTCTTGGCGGGCGACTTAGCAGTAATTCTGTACAGCATGTAATCATCTTTTAAAAGTAGTATCTCTGTCAAAGCAGCAACTTAGTAGAGCTTTTCTCCCATTGACTACCTAAACTGTGTTCTCAGAGACCATGACTGACTTTGAGGTTGTGGTCCTTGACGTGATGCTGGGGAGAGTGAGGAAGTTAATGCACACACACACACACACACTCACTCACTCCCAATCTGGGCATGGGAAAGGGTTGATAAAATTCAGCTTACAGATGTTTGCTCCATGTGAAAAGAAATCGCACTTCTCATGGAGGGGTTTCATATATCCGAGTCCAGTGCAGTTTTTGTGTGGGTAAAGGAACCAGGAAAACACAAGGATAGCTAAATGTAGCAGGTTGTCTCAGTCGTTCAAAGGAAATCTTTGTTTAGTAGTGTTTAATGACAATAAGTGTTCTTCTGTGTTCTGTGTTTAGGGATATGCTGTTAGAAGTTACTGAATGTCAAATCCTTGACGCCCTTCCCCACCCCTCACATCCCCCTGTTTTGGGAACCAGGCAAGTCTAAAGTAGCTAGTAGTCTAGTCCATAGAAGCTGAAGATTTTGGGGCCTAGGCCCAGCTCTGTTATAGATGTACTTGTTGGGTGACCTTGGACAAGTTATGTGACTTCTACCTGAACCTCTCTAAAAAGAAAATATTGCAGGACATGTACTGTAATTAATCATATAATGACTGTCATGAACTTTAAGGTCCTGAAACACTCAGTAGGTACAAAACAGAATAAGCATAAAGAGTAACTGTTAAACAGGAAGCTGCCATCATGACATTGATACTTTCCTTGGGAATAAGGATAACGTGTATAAAAATGCACAGTGCTTACGAAGGAAATTAACGGACACTAAGTTCTAGTGGAGGCTTTTCTTTGAAAGGGGATTACTTTGACTCACTCTAATGCCAAAGCTCAGAATCTATTGACACAGGCTGGCATCATGAAAATAGGCTCTTGCCTGGAAGTGCCCAGTAGTGCTCTTTCACCTAGTTCACTGTACCCCAAAATGTATGTTAAACAAGACATCTTAAATGTATCAATTGCCTGCTCAGCAGCATAATCTGATTGAGCATTTGCACCTTTTGGGTACATGTGTGCTTTCATGTGGTGCTATGATGTAGAAACATTGTAGCAGCTGAGGGACATTTCCGATCTCTTCTAGACATTGTAATTTTGGTTTTTTCACTGAAAGAGTTTGCCTTTATTTACTGTTACTTCAGAATGTCATTGTTTTTGTGTCTGTGTTTTCTGATTTTCAAATACATCACAGATTGTATCCTTTATGAGAAAACTGAGGCTTTTATTTTTTGGTGTTAGGAGCTGTAAATCTGTTCTTGAAAGTAGGTGGTTTGGTGTTTGCTTGATCCCACCCCCCATCCTCCCCCATTTTTTTTTCTTGAGGAGCATAAAATTTTATAGCAACTTTTCAGGTTATTCAGAGAAAGGCTTTGAACCAGTTTGAATCGGTTCAGTCATAGCCAACACAACAAACTCAGATATGGATCTGAATTTGTGGAATATAGGCGTGCCCACATGCCAAGAAGAATGGGAAAAATCATGGGATGAAACCTTGGAATGGGAGATTGGGTTGTTGCCAGGACTGTGGAGGGCAACACGCCCTAAGTATTGCCGGCAGCTGCCATCTTTGAGCTGGGCATCGTTGTTTCTGCCTTTGCCAATCAGGAGATTTGGTTGCTATGCAATGCACACACTGCTTTTTTTTTTTTTTTTTAAAGGGAGGTTACATTTCTAGCAGGGTGTCAACTGTAATTTTTCCCATCCTGGTTGTTTCAGTTCACCCACATTTTACAAATTGGGGTTCTGGTGTTGCTTTGTTGGCCATGACTAAACTGAGAAGAACCAGTTTGAAGCCTTGTTCGAAAGACCTAATTTGAAAAAAGAAACAAAAAGAAAGACCTAATTTGGATGAATAAATTCAACTTAAATAACCATGTAAAGTGAATGTAAAGTAGATCTTAAGGAAGAAAAAACAAGTCATGAGCTTTCTGCTGCCCTAAAGGGCGGCAACCTCTATTGGGGGATAGATAGTGTGGTGAGGAAATCAGGGGTCTAAAGTCTAAGCAGAGAGGAGTGAGGTCGCCCCTTTGTAAACACTCACACTTGGTATTTAGAGCTGGAAGGGGACTTGGAATCCTCGGCAGCCCCACCTTCTCGTGGAAAACCGAGGCAAGAGATGACACCAAATTGTTAGAGTTGTTCCCCTGGTAAGTAAAACAAAGTCCGCTAACTGTAACTAGCAGCCTTCATGAGAAGAGACCGGATAGACTTTGACATCTCAGGGTCTGTAGAGCTCGCCCCAGCCGTCAGCCATGCAGTATCTCGTTTAACTCTCCAACAGGGCGTCTGTGAGGGAGGCAGAAGCATCTTTTCACAAACCCTTCCTGAGGGAGTTTGGAATAGTGTTTCTTGTGTGGGGAGGTGTAGTTTTGTGAGTTTACTTTGCTTAACTGAAGATAGCATGAACATGGATTTAATTGGACACTAATCCTTGAGTTGATTACTATGGGAGCTATACTAGGCCAAGCAGTGAGGGAGGAGGGTATTCCAAGTTGAGTAAGGCACAATTGATTTCTCTTCAGCTGGAGCAGGGGAGCCTGAAGGAGAGTCAGGAATAGGAGGCTATGGAATGTGTGGCTCATGGCCACTGAACAACTGCTTCTGCCTTGAGACCAGAACCATTACTGAGCATTTTGATCAAGGATTCTATAGAAGAATCCTGATCAAAACAGGAGAATGTAGAACAGAATTTTGAGTTTTCATAGACTCCAGACTTCCTGAAGCCATGGAAGGTGGATGAAACTACCCCTGAAACTACCCAGATGTCTACCCACCCCATCCTTGCCTAAAACCGAACAACAAATTAGCTTAACCAGGAAAAGAGATCTGTCTTCAGCATTGTGCTCTTTTAAGAATTACATGGGATCAGATTGACAACGGCAGCTTGAAAGATTAGATGGAAACGGTAATGGGCTGCAAGTTTACATGAGTGGAGGGAGCAATGCAGACAAGGAGGATCCGCTCTTTCTTCAGGAGAAAGATGAGGCTGCATGTTCCAATAAAGATTGACAGTCTCAGAAACTCCAATGGGCAGTTCTACGTTGTCCTCAAACGTTGACGTGAGTTGGATTCCACTTGATGGTAGTGGGGTTTTTTAATTTTGATGGTGCTGTCGGATAAATGTTGGGCTGTCAACCAAAAGGTCAGCAGTTCAAACTCACCAGCCACTCCATGGGAAGAAGATGAGGCTGCCTGCTTCCCTGAAGATTTACCATCGTGGAAGTCGTTAACTAGTAAAAGAGGATCCATGAGTAGGATTCAATTTGATGGCAGTGGGTCTTTGCTTTGTATATTCTCAACGACCAAAATAAAATGAAATCACATTTTTTAAAAAAAGTTGAGTAAACCCCTATCTGCTCCATCCCACAAAGAACTTCCACTTTACTAACTTCCAAACATCTTGATAGCATTCTTTGCTTTCTGTTTTTGTTTGCTTGTTTGTAAAGAGATTGTTGTAGGATAAAGATGCAAAAGAGGGGCTGATTTGACCCACCCTCTGATTGTAGGGAGACCTGTTTTCAGAAAAATGTGAGTGGCTTTCCTTCAGATTGCAGCTTAAGCATCTACTTCCTCAGCCAAACTCAAACCCTAACTGATTGCCATCAAGTCAGTTCTGACTTACATGCATTGGGCTGCTAACTGCAAGGTCAGCAGTTTGAAATCTCCAGCCTTCAGCCACTGGAGACAGATGAGGCTTTCTACTCCTGTTCTGAGTTGCAGTCTCAGAACAGCCCCCACCCCCCGCCCCCAGGGTGGGTGGGGGGCAGTTCTGCCCTGTCCTAGAGGACTGCCATGAATCACTTCCTCAGCAGATGCTGTGAATTCTCTGGCTCCATCATCAGTTTTCCCCGGGGTACATGTTCTCCAAGCACCCTGCACTTTGTCGTTTTTTCTGAATTTGTGATTCTCCATGTGACTGACTCCTCTGTAAAGCAAGCTCCCAAAGACTAGGGACTGTGGCTTTCTTGGGCTCACCTTACCCTCCAGTGTCCTGCATTTGCCAGCATAGAGTGGCCTCTTTCCATGTCTGTGCAGGGATGGACTAGAGGACACATCTAGGTCCTTTAAAGTTATACTTTTAAAAACCTCTGCAGAAGCAATTCAGTTTGGGGTCCCAAAGTCACGGGTATTTTTACAC